GACTATAGACTCGAGGGTATCTACATCAAATGGCACAACATAGTACATAAAGACAATGTTCTGCATCCTACTTTGGTGAGTAGTATCTGGGGACTGAAAAGCTTGTGAGTAGCCATCTAAGATACGACGACTGGTCTCTTCTCATCTAGAGCAAAGAAGAGTGAAGAAAACCAAAGACTCAAGGGAACAATTAGTCCAAAGGACTAATGGACCACATGAACTGTAGCCTACACAACCCCGAGACCAGAAGAACTACATGGTGCCCAGCTACTACTGCTCACCATTCTGACTGGGATCACAAAAGAGGGTACCGGACAAAGCAGGAGTAAAATTGTAGAAAAGAAAACCAAATTCACAAAAAAGACCAGACTTACTGGTCTGATACAGACTGGAGGAACCTATGAGACTATGGCCCTAAGACACCCTTCTAAACTGGAACTGAAGCCATTACTGGAGACTACCTCCCAGTCAAACAAGAGACAAGCACTGTCATGGATTGAACCGTGTTCCCAAAAATATCTGTCAACTTGGCTAGGTCATGATTCCCAGTATTGTATGACTGTCTACCATTTTGTCATCTGATGTGTTTCTCAATGTGTTGTACATTCTATCACTATGATGTAATAAGATGGATTAGTGGCAGTTATACTAATGAGATCTATAAGATTAGATAATGTCTTAAGCCAATCTCTTTTGAGATATAAGAGAAGTGAGCAGAGACACGGGGAAACCTCATACCACCAAGAAAGCAGTGCCGGGAGCAGAGCGTGTCCTTTGGACCTGAGGTTCCTGTGAAGAGAAGCTCCCAGACCAAGGGAAGACTGATGACACAGACCTTCCTCCAGAGCCAACAGAGAAAGCCTTCCCCTGGAGCTGATGCCTTGAATCTGAACTTGTAGCCTACTAGACAGTAAGGGAATAAATTTCTCTTTTGTTAAAGCCATCCACTTGTGGTATTTCTGTTACAGCAGCACTAGATAACCAAGACAAGCACATAAGATAAACAATAACATCTGAGAGGAACTTACTTCTTAGAATAATCAATTATACAAGATCAAAAGCGCATTATCTGGCCAAAGGCAAAGAAGAGAAGGCAGGAAGGGGTAGAAAATCAGGACGAAAGAAAATGTGGAACCCAGGGTGGAAATGGGGAGAGTGCTGACACACTGCAGAAGAATGAAACCAAGGTCATGAAACATTTTACGTACAAACTATTGAGTGGGAATCTAATATGCGCTGTAAACTTTCACCTACTGCACAATAAAAATATATATATGTGTGTGTGTGTGTATATATATATACATATTTTAAAAAAAACCAAACCCACTGCCATTGAGTTGATTCCCACTCATAACGACCCTATAGGACAGAGTAGAACTACCCCACAGGGTTCCCAAGGAATGGCTAGTGGGTTCACACCGCGGAACTTTTGGTTAGCAGCCAAACTCTTAACCACTACAGCACAAGGGCTCCATATACATATACACACACACATATGGAAACCCTAGTGTTGTAATGGTTAATAGCTACGGCCGCTAACCAAAAGGTCGGCAGTTCAAATTCACCAGGTATTCCTTGGAAACCCTATGGGGAAGTTCTACTCTGTCCTATAGGGTTGCTATTAGTCGGCATCAACCCGACGGCAATGGATTTTCTACATATATATGTGTATGCATATATAAAGTAAATGTGAGCTAAAGTTTTTATAGTACAGTATAACAAAAATAAGTGAATATAGTTAGACCACAGCAGGTTAAAAAATTCTTATTTTTCATTTTTTAATGTCTAATAGGAAATGTCTTTTTATCATTATTTATGATTTAATAATTACCTTACACCTTACAGTCTTGTTTGATAGAAGTGTCAGCTCACCAGGTGCTTATTTATTACTAAGCAGTACTGTTAGAGCAAGTGATCTCAGTGATAAATGTATGAAAGCTACCTTAATCTTTGTTTTCACAATGGTGCTGATGTACACCTATTTTAAATACAACACACAGTTTATGTTAAGCCTAGCCAGTGAAGAATTTTTAGGAAAAGGATTTAGAAAAGAATCCCACATCTTTTTCCTAAATAAGTTCTAAAAGTTGTTTAGAATTTATATTACAAGTTCACTTTACTTATTACTATTCATAAATAGAGTAGGTAAGAGTTTTCAAAGTAAATTTTTCTGTGCTGCATTTTCTTGTTTAAATTTGTGGTATTTTGGATATAAAGATCATACTACTGACTTTCTATCAGAATGGATGTGTGCCTTAGACTTCTGTTACCAAACAGGACCAGTATTTCTGACTTCTTTAGAGATGAAGTCTAAATCACATGAAAAAGACAAGCTAACTGGAATTCATTTGGAGAATGAAATCATGTTCCTAAGAAAATTCTCTTACCAAGCACAAAAACTAAAAACATCATTTTTCACTAAAGAGAATCTTAGTCATGTGAATTTTCCTTTTTCACAAGGTAGCAAAAGTTACTAATACATCTACTTTTAATTACTCAGACTTGATTCCTTAACATATGAGCAGAGCCAAAAGTTAACTGATTTTAAACTAAGTACCACATGTTAAGCCTATTGTATAAAATTGCTGTTGTTATTAGGTGCCGTTGAGTTGGTTCTGATTCATAGCAACCCTCGGTACAACCGAACAGAACACTGCCTGGTCCTGCGTTATCCTCACAATCATTGCTATGTTTGAGCCCATTGTTGCAGCCACTTGTACCAATCCATCTTGTTCAGGGTCTTCCTCTCTTTCGATGACCCTCTACTTACCAAGCATGATGTCCTTCTCCAGGGACTGGTCCCTCCTGATAACATGTCCAAAGTACATGAGACAAAGTCTCGCCATCAGTTAACTCCATTAAATTGCATATAACCAGTCAAAGGCTTTATAATTTGCAACAGCTCTATTGTGAAACTACCTTTTCCCACACATGCTACTAATTATATAGACTCCAAAACTCTTAAGGAACTAAAAATAGCTACAGTCTTTGCTTTTTTTTAAAAAAATCCAAATCACAACTTAATTGTTAAGCCTGAATTACATCTACATCTTGATTGAGTTCCACTTTAGGAATTATGGAATCTAAGCTAATTTATCTAAACCCATCCCTTGTTGTAAACAAAGAGCACCCTTACACCAACCAATTCAGATGAAAGTCTTTAATTTACACATTATGATGGCATTAGTGAACTAAGTTCTGTTTGGAAGTGCATTTGCTAGTAGGTTCGTTCAGCTAGTAAACTCTGGCTGATATCCTGTATGGTCAATTAGTTAAGTCCTGGGACTAAGTCAAGGTTATAATGGAATGTAATGGAAAATATATTCTATATAAAACTATCAGCTTTATATTATATTAAATATAATTTAGCATATGTCTGTAGTTTCCAGTGTCATCTTCTTCTCTATTTATAGAAGGCTCTTATTGCAGATAAAGTTTATTCCTAGGGATCACACTCTATTTATGTCCCACTTCATAGGACAGAGAGTGACTTTAAAAGCTAGATGACAAATGCACCCTACAAGCACACACCTTTACAGACTACAAGATAAAAACAAGCAAACTAAAATTGCCAGAAGATACAAGTAGATAAGATAGAGCAGCAGTCTCTAGGCAGCAGGACTGGGAGATATGGAGAGGTGGGGCCACAGTACTGATACTGCTTAATTTATCAATGAATTGAAATCAATAGCAGAGGATTTTTAAAAACTTGAGTGTAGCCATTACTATGATAAAATAAAAATTTAATAAATAAAATCTACAAACCAAAAGCAGTTACTGAACATCTACTATACGTAAAGCACTGTGCTGGGGGTCAAGGAGGACCCAAACTTCAACTACGATATTAAATTAGATAATGTCTTAGTTTCTTTGAATTCTAAAATTCAGAATTTCATTTACATCAACCTATCTTTGAAGGCATACACCTAAAGGACAGACATAAAAATCAATAGAAAAATACATAACATTTACTCTAGACTGGCGACCCTGGTGGCGAAGTGGTTAAGAGCTCAGCTGCTAACCAAAAGGTTGGCAGTTCGAATCCACCAGCCACTCCTCGGAAACCCTATGGGGGCAGTTCTACTCTGTCCTATAGGGTCGCTATGAGTCCAAATTGACCTGATGGAAATTGGTTTGTTTGTTTGTTTTTTCTAACTCTAGACGGAATTTCTTTCTTTTAAAAAACATTTACACCTATGAAGTACTCTACTACTTAAAATGTAAAGACCGTACATTTTTCCACGTTTTCTTTGATCATTATCATGGAAAAAAAATCCAATTAAATTGAGAAAACATACAAACAAAACTAATCACATCACCAACTACCAGGTAAAATCACTTTTATTACTTTAAAGCATGTACAACCACACTCCTGTTTTATCTCTATGCTTGCCTATTGTAAACTGAACAAAATAATGCACTTCTAAGGGAACTCTGAGCCAGACAGCAAGACTTTTAGGGGGAGAAAACAATTTTCATGGCGCCCCCCTCCTTTTTTTCTGGTACCCTTTCAGTGTCAAAGTTAAAAGTTGTAATGTGTTGTAACAATTGTTTTTACTTCCTTCTGGAGGAAATCATTTTGCAAAACCACATTCTTTTATTTTATACATTTTTATTATTCGGTTAGAAAACTTGTTACCCATATGCAAATCTCAAACTAGGGAGGGAGGGGGAGGAAATGAAGCTCAACAAACACAACAAAATAAAGTTGCTCTGCTATGCTTGAGGCTGCCAGGCTTTTTGTTACTCTACTTGAAAGTAAATGTGACTTGTCTGTAGACAGTGCTGCTTCAGCAGTTCCAAATGAATTTTAAGCATGTACGCCATATTTTCTCTTTTGTAAGTTTAATGTATTCAGCAACACTGAACTGACAATTTAAATAACTACATTTTTAAACAAATGAAGCATTGATGTTAATGTATGAAAATGGTCCAAACCCCTGGGAGTCTTGGTTCCCACCATTGTTTATTCTGACAACAGGATATAATTGCTTACTTACTTGGCAGCAAATTTAACCATCTGCTTGCTTGCATGGTCTCCCACAGCCACAAGAGCCTGGACATTAAACTGCTGCTGACGTAGGACTAAGAAACACTGCTTCCCTGCATGAGACAGAAAGGACGCAAGTATATTAATAAGGACGTGCTTCTTCAGGTTTTACAAAGAAGGAAAATGCTTCTCTGTTTTAAAATCAGACCAAAATTTACTACACTCATCAGGCACATACACACGTGTATCTGGCTTCCACAGCCAAAATGCTCATGTGCAACTGACAAGCTTTAAAACAAACTCAAGTTTCTTTTGAATAACAAGAAATGTTTTCAATGTTTGTGATGAGCACAGAGGCAAATCACTAATTTCAAAAAAATTACAAATCAAGATAATTATTTTGTCATAGCAGTGATTTATTAAACAAATCTCAAGTAACCAGATCACTTTTAACATTCAACAGACAGTATGTTCTACAGGCAAAGGCAAAGGCTAACCACCCATGGGAACTTCAATGATGTAATCACAAAAGAGCTATAAAATACTAAGAACAGACAAGAACACAAGCATTCTACAGGGGTGGTCCATCTATATTGTCCTTATGTCCTACCAAGATGCATTTTAAAGAGCATTGAGATTGACAGGCTAGCTCCTTTCAGGCAGGGCCTCAAACCGTTTAGGTGCGCCATTCGAAACCCTGCAGAGAATTTGCATTTCTAACAAGTTCTCAGGCAATGCTAATACCGCTGGTTAGGAACCAATTCTGAGAACCACTAGTAGAGCAGGGGTTCTCAAAATTTATTAGAGATCTTGTTAAACTTTAGATTCTGATTCAGCATATCTGGTGGAAATGCAAATTCTCAGCAGGGGTTCGAACCAGAACGAACATGTTCAAAGCCTTGCTTTCATGTCTTATTTTCCGTTATCATCTTATCATCCTCGCACTTTATAAGACACATTTTTTTCCTTCAAATAACTTAGTCTATAAAAAGATCATCCTCTTTGTGCCTTATAACTAGTTTTATTTTTATACATCCTGGGCTTCTTGCTTTCCCTTCCTTTCATGTCATTCCTTATTCTTAACCTTCTGAAAAATATTATTTATAATAGATTTCAGTCACTATGTATTCAGTGACAACCCCTTTCCTCCAAAGCAGATCCGTTTTAAGTCTCCAATCAAATTCTGGAGAACTACTTCCTCATAAAACCAGTTAAATCTTTTCAAGACCACTTTTCTTTTTTCGTCAATATTTTACTTTCTTAAGATGTAGTTGGCATGTTATAAACTGTACATATTTGAAGTGTACAATTGCATATTTTGACATATGTAAACATCCATGAAAAAATACACACAATCAACATAATGAACATATTCATCACCCCCATAAGTTTCCTGGTGTCCCTTTGTAATTTCTTCCCCATATATCTTTTTTAATTGTTGTGCTTTAAGTAAAGTTAACAATTCAAGTTAGTCGTTCATACAAAAATCTATACATAACATTGTTTTGTGATCCTAGTTGCTCTCCCTATACTGTGACAGCACACTTTTCCTTTCCATCCTGGATTTCCCGTGTCCAACCAGCTCCTGACCCTCTCTGCCTTCTCATCTGACCTCTGGACAGGAGCTGCCTATTTAGTCTCATGTATCTACTTGAGCTAAGAAGCACATTCACAAGTATCATTTTATGTCCCACAGTCCAGTCTAATCTTTGTCTGAAGAGTTGGCCTTGGGAATGGTTTCAGTTTTGGGCTAACAGACAGTTCAGGGGCGATGTCTTCCAGGGTCCCTCCAGTCTCAATCAAACCATTAGGTCTGGTCTTTTTACTAGAATTTGAGTTCTGCACCCCACTTTTCTCCTGCTCCATCAGGGACTCTCTGCTGTGTTCCCTGTCAGGGCAGTCATTGACAAGATCACTTTTGTTGTCAGACTGTCTTGCAAAACATCAAAGGAAGATTTTGGTATGTAAACTGGGAATTATCTTTTAAATTGAGAATTCGCTTTGCCCCCTCAAAAAGCAAGCAGACTTTAGTTATTACTTTCAAAATACAGTACTTTGAAATTAAAGTCAGAGAGCAATCATGAGTAAAAAAAAGATAGGTTGCTAAGTGTCAACTCCCATCAACTGTAGAGTCATATATGACTGACATACTTTTACCACTAAAAAGTCAACTCCTAATTTTTCCTCTTCCTTTTGGATCTAGTCACAAACTTAAATCTTAGCTTCATGTAATAAACAAATTCAAAGGGGTTTTAAGATCTGGATGGACAAAAGTTGTTACCTCAAAGAACTCTGCAGATAGATCAAAATGACATTATCCTAAGAACTACTACTAAAACCACAGCCACACATTACCCTACTTAGAATAGGATGTTAGTGTGAAATGGAAGATAATACGCATTAAAACAGTGCCAGGCTAAGCCATGATTTAACAAGAGCTATTTTAGCTGTTATAATAGTCCAGACAGATGAACATCAGACCTACAAGTACTACAGAGTCATCCTGTGGTGAGGATTCTGAACTGCAATGCTACACAAAGGACCCTGAGAGAGAATGAGGCACTTTACAGGACTTACAAAGGGTGAGCAGAGGAAAATGTCTGAGTCAGCACTTGGGGGGTAACATTTCATGTAAGGGTTTGGTAAAGAGTAAAATCTCTGAAATCAAAAAGACTGGAATCATGTTCTCACTATCACTTCCAATGAAGGGGTCTGTGAGAAAATTATTAAGCCACTTTACGTCTCAGTTTCTTCATCTGTAAAATGGAGGAAATAATAGTATATTACTCGTGGGGTTTTCTTGAGGATTACATAAGTAATATGCTTAGAATAGTGCCAGACACCTAATAAGTCTGGCTAAATGTTAGCTGTTATTATTATTATTAACAGCACCACTACTGCTGGCTACTTATTTGAGGACTGATTATCATTTTTATTTTGCAGCTGGATGACTTCTGTGCAAAAACTATGCCAGATGCTGGGAACACAAAGGTAAATTATTTGGTAGACTCTAATGAAAGACTATTACTTGAAAAAAGTGATAAGACTATATATAGACTATAATCCTAATTTTGTGTGAGAAGTATATTAAGCTTGATAGTATACAAAAAACAAAAGTAAACTAAAAGCACCAGCAGAATGTGGCTACTAATGGTGATGAGATTATAGGGAATTATTTTGTTCTTTGTATTTTTCTTATTTTCTGGACTTTCTACAATAAACACGTACTACTTTTCTAATAAAAAAAAATTAAGAGAACAATACAATCAGAGAGGTAGCAATAGAAGAACGGTCAAGGCTGAAAGGAAATCTTGATCATGCTCAAGATTCGACATAAGCAGTAAGCAGAACCTGACAAGTTCTGGGAGCCTAAACATAGAAACAAAAGCACCTCCTAAGATTTGACACACCTGTAGGGAAAAGAAACAAATCAGTGGTTATGGGTGAAGTGAATAGAACGTGCTGAGGGCAGCTGCCTAACAATGTTCAGAAAAGAACATTGAGATTCCAGGAGATAAACAGGCAATGGATAAGAACAGATAATCTGAAGGGGGAAAAAAAAACCTAGTAAGTAAATATAAGGAGAAGATGTTACTGGTAATGAAAGTAATACAAGTTGAAGCAAACAATGATGACAAATTATTTACTTCTCCAACTAGCAAAGAATTAAAAAATAAGAAAATCCAGTTTTTTTTGAGAACTAACTGAAAAACGTTCCTCATAACTTGCTGATGGCAAGGTAAACTTGCATAGTACTTGCGGAGAACAATTTGGCAATGGGCATTAAGGGCTTAAAAATGTGATCTCTTATCAAGAAATCCATTTCTTAGAATATATTTTAAGGAATTTAAGACAGAAACAGTCTTAGTCACAAAGATATTCGTAACAGTGTTACTTTATATAAAATAACTGAAATTCTATTATCACTCACTTCATATTTACGTAGTCTTCACTAGTGGAACGGATCTCTGTGTGTCTCTACTGCTGTGGTTCCTAAGCTTTTTTTAATTTTATTTTATTGTACCTTAAGTGGAAGTGTACAATTCAAGTTAGTCTCTCATGCAAAAATTTATACATACATTATTATGTGACCCTAATTACTTTCCCTCTACTATGACAGCACACTCCTCCTTTCCACCCTGGATTTCCCGTGTCCACTCAACCAGCTCCTGACCCTCTCTACCTTCTCACCTCCAGAAAGGAGCTGCCCATTTAGTCTTGTGTATCTACCTGAGCTAAAAGCACACTCTATGCGAGTATCGTTTTATGTCCCCTAGTCCAGTCTAATCTTTGACTGAAGAGTTTGCCTGGGGAATGGTTTTAGTGCTGGGTTGACAGAGTCTGGGAGGCCTTGCTCTTTGGGGTTCCTCCAGTCTCAGTTAGACCATTAAGTCTGTCTTTCACTAGAATTTGAGTACTACACCCCACTTTTCTCCTGCTCCAACAGGGACTCTCTGACGTGTTCCCCGTCAGGGCGGTCATTGGTGGTAGCCAGGCACCACCTAGTTCTTCTGGTCTCAGTGCAGTCCCTAAGCTTTCTGCGTTCAAAGCACACTTTCAAATACAGACCTTGATGGTCCACTTAAAAGGTATTTTAGAAGACACAAAACAAAAAATCTACACTGGTTTCATGACTAATAAAACAGTCCACTCAGACTATCAAAATAATTTTGAGAATTCTTGCAAGGTGTCAGTAAACAAAATCGTTCTTTCTTTGGCTCTGGACGGTGATACACCGCACTGCATGATCTGCCTAGTTCAGTGATCAGCAAGGCACTCCCTTACAGACACTGCTGAGAGATAACAATTTAAAAAACAAAGGATATGATCACATACATAGGTCCACATTTGTAAAAGCATGTTTTTTTTCTGGAAGCACATGTAAGAAATAGTAGTGGTTATCTTTGGAGATTGTGGTAGGATGAAGGAGATGAAGTGGAGAGACTTCTGTTTTTCATCTTACATCTTTCTGTAATATTAGAGTTTTTATTTTTACCATGTCTATTTTTATTTTAAGAAACATATAATTTCTCAATTTACTAAAAAGTTGTCACTGTACAAGTTAGTACAGGAGCTCTAGAGGACCGATTTATTAACTGCTAAAAGCACCCAT